CACACACACACACACACACACACACACACACACACACACACAGGAGCCTGTGTCCCCAAAGCATCCAGCAGAGGGAGCCTCTGACACACTCAGCAGAGGAACCAGCCTTATGTGACGGCACCAGGTATACAAAGACTCACACGCAGGTGGAGGCGAGTCCTGGGCCCCACGGACCTCATGCCTGCCCTCCTCCCTCAGTCATCCACCAAGACTCTTTGTGAAAAGTCAACGTGCATGCCGCAGCTGGTTTGGCTCGGTGGATAGAGCGTCGGCCTGTGGACTGAAGGGTCCTGGGTTCGATTCCAGTTAAGGGCACATGCCTGTGGGCTCAATCCCCAGTGGGGGGAGTGCAAGAGGCAGCCCATCAATGATTCGCATCCTCTCCTCTCCTCTCTCTCTCTCTCTGTCTCTCTCTCTCTCTCTCTCCTCCTTCCTCTCAGAAGTCAATAAAAATATATTTTTTTTAAAAAAAAGGTCAACGTGCATGACAAACATGACTAATCTATAAAACCCACAGGAGAACCGAGGAGCAGAGGGGCAGTCATGCGCCAGGGCCACCGCTAGTAAGGAGCAGAGCCTGGGCTTGAACCCATATATGTCGCATCCCAAGGTCGTTATTTCTGCTGGCACATGACGGGTTTGCTCCGAGGCATGGGTGGTGGGAGTGGGTTGAGGGAGGCTGGTGCAATGTTTGGGGAATAATGAGCGCTTGGAGACCCTCCCTCGGGATGGGGGTGTGAGAGAGGCAGTGGGTGGCTCCTGCATGTTGCCCACTCAGTCTACCTCGGAAAGGGCATTCCGGCCGACGATCCCAGCACACACCACCAGGGGGCGCTCCAGGATCGCCAGCCCAGCTTTGACTCATCTCCAGATCCCCCACCCCGCGCCATCTCGGCTGATGCCCCTGAGCAGAACAAGGAGGCCCAAGGAATAGGACTCAGGGCCCCCTTTGAGGTCCCCAAGGATAGCGTTGTTGGACCTTAGGTTAGTCATTTCACTCTGGGGAACTCAATATCCATCTCAGGATAACAGTACCTGAGAATTAAATGAGATTATTAAATGGAAAGGACACACAAGAAGAACTCAGTCAATTTAAATATCATTATGAGCAGAACAAGGAGGCCCAAGGAATAGGACTCAGGGCCCCCTTTGAGGTCCCCAAGGATAGCGTTGTTGGACCTTAGGTTAGTCATTTCACTCTGGGGAACTCAATATCCATCTCAGGATAACAGTACCTGAGAATTAAATGAGATTATTAAATGGAAAGGACACACAAGAAGTACTCAGTCAATTTAAATATCATTATTGTTGCCGTGGCCGGCTTGGCTCAGTGGATAGAGCATCAGCCTGCGGACTGAAGGGGTCCAGGGTTGATTCCGGCCAAGGACACATGCCTGGGTTTTGGGCTCGATCCCCAGTGAGGGGGGGGGGGGGGGCAGGAGACAGCCGATCAATGATTCTCTCTCATCACTGATGTTTCTATCTCTCTCTCCTTCTCCCTTTCTCTCTGAAATCAATAAAGAAATATATTTAAAAATAAATATCATTATTGTTATATTAACTTCGGAGACCCCCCGGGCTTCATCCTCCTAAAGACTTGAGAATCACTCTAACCTTCTTCTCCGCTTATACCCCCCCTTCCTGTCCCACCTGGACCTCAGCCACCCTTTCCCCTGGGTTTTCAGCCCCCTGTACTCCCTTTCAAGCCACCTCCCTGCCACCCCAGGCTTGATCCTGATGTGTCCTGTTCCTGCTCACACACCTCCTGTAGCTCCCTATTGCCCTCAGCATAAAGGCTGAACTGTGACATAGCCTACAGTTCCTACAGGATTGGCCCCTCCCCACTCTTCATCCACACACACACATACACACACCCTAGTATCTCAGTCTTCGGGCTTTAAACACCATCTGAATTCTGAGGCTTCCCAAATGTCTGTCCTAGCCCAGAACTCTCTCCCAAATTTGAGGCCCATCTATCCAAGTGCCAGCTTGACGGTCCAACTGCTCCTGGTCCAAACGGACATGCTAATCTCACCCCCAAAAACAACTTGCTTCATTCAGCATTCCCCATCTCTGTTGATGGTACGCCAATCTTTCCAGGTGCTCAAACCTGGAAACCTGGGGACTTGCCCTTCTCATGAATCCCACACTCCGTCCATTGGCAAACCTGCCAGGACTACCTTCATGAAACAATCATTCCTCATCAGCGTCCAATTGCCCCTCTTCACCTGTACAGCCCCCATGTAGGTTTTAGCTACAGTCATCTCTCTTTGCCCTCCTCTGCTCAGAACCCCCTATTTTTCTCACAATAATATCAGTGATTTTAAGGCCCTGTGTAAATTTACTTATTTGTTTGCTTTTTAATCACTTGTTATCTGCTCCCCTTTCTAGAAAGTCAGTTACATGAGAGCTCAAACACTGGTCACAGTAGATGTTCAATTTGATGAATTCATATGATTATTGTAGACGCTGTCATTGCCCCACCTTCTATATCACCATACCAGGGACTATTCCATCACCTAGTTCCCCCAGCCAAAGACTTGAGAATCACCCTAACCTTCTCCTCCACTTATACCCGACCCTTCCTGTCCCACCTGGACCTCAGCCACCCTTTCCCCTGGGTTTTCAGCCCCCTGTACTCCCTTTCAAGCCACCTCCCTGCCAGAACAGGCTTGATCATGATGTGTCCTGTTCCTGCTCACACACCCCCTATAGCTCCCTATTTCCCTCAGCATAAGGGCTGAACTGTGACATAGCCCACAGTTCCTACACGATTGGCCCCTCCCCACCCTTCCTCCTTTCTACCCCTCTACCCAGGTCCAGCCACTCTGGCCCCTTGTGAGTTCCTCAGCACACCATGCTCTCCCTCATCTGCATACATTTGCAGATGCTATTCCTCTGCCTGGAATGCTCTTCTCTCCCTTGCCACCAAATTCTACTCCCACTTCAGCACCAGAGCTCTCCCTGAGCCACCCCCACCAAATGTTATGCTCACCCAGCACCACGGTGTCTCCCTTGGAGCACTTGTCACAAGTTTAAGTAAATATTTATATGTAGAATTATTTGCTCAACATTTGTCAACCCTGTCCTCTTGAGGGCAGGAATCAGGCCAGCTGTGCTCCTGGCCCAGTGCTAGCAGACATTTCGTTAATAATGCAGTCTGTTGATGAAATAAATGAATACACAAACTCTCCCAAAAAGTCTCAGTTTATGTCCAAGGACAGATGATTTTCCAGCCTCCTAGCTCACAGCTTCCCTCGGCTGCTTCCCAACTGTCCAAGGTCCCTCATTTCCTTGCTGGGCTCTGGATGTCAGGGTCGGGTCACTCAAGCCCAGCGGTTCTCAACCTGTGGGTCGCAACCCCTTTGGGGGTGGAATGACCCTTTTACAGGGGTCACCTAAATACATCCTGCATATCATATATTTACATTACGATTCATAACAGTAGCAAAATTACAGTTATGAAGTAGCAACGAACATAATTTCATGGTTGGGGGTCACCACAAACTGAGGACCTGTATTAAAGGGTCGCGGCATTAGGAAGGTTGAGAACCACTGCTCTAGCCGCTAGACAAGCCGCTAGTGGGTGGATGATGGTGGATGTCTGTATCCCTTGCTTTTATTCTACAAAAATCAACATCCTTAGCAAAGGGCCTTTGAGTAAGGGAGGAAGAGGTTTGGAAGGAGGGTTCAAGTTTACAAAACAAGAAAAGCAAACAGCAGGGCCACAGGAGGTAGCCTGATGCCTGAGAAGTTCGCCCATGCGAGCTGGGGGCTTCAGGAAGGCGATATCCAGGTTCAAGGCTCTGACCGCGGGCTCCAGCTCCCAAGTCCTCCATTTAGAAGCCCGTCCGATCCGCGTGGGGCAGGGCTTGAATCCAGGATGCTTTAGATGTCTGGCCCTTAGAGTCTTAGAAGGCTCCGTGGAAGAGGCCTGAAGACCTGAAGCCGCAGGATGCTGGGGGCGGGGTCTGGGCCCAAGGGGTGTGGCCTAGCCTGGCCCTCAAACCAGAGGACAGCACTCGGTGGGTGGGTCCCGGAACTCAAGGGGCGTGGCCTTGCCGTGAGGGGCGTGGCCTGCACCTGCCCGCTGCTCAGTGGAGCCCCCCGATCCCCCTGAGCGGAGCCTGGACTTCGAGGGGCGTGGCCTATGTCCACAGGACTTAGGGGCGTGGTCTGGTCCCTCGAAGGCGGGGCTTCGGCCTCTAGGCGGGGCTTAGGCCCCGGGCTCCGCAGGGGCGCACCGGCGCTCAGGCTCAGGCCCGCGGAGGGAGGGGCTCTACGTTGAGCCAGATGCCATTCTCCGTGCGCAATATGAGCTCCGGCTTCCGCCGAACTTTGCGCGTTCGGTCCACGCTCAGGCGGAAGCGCAGCAGAGTCAGCGCCACGGCCACGCGCATCTCGGCCATTGCGAAGCTCTGTCCGATGCAGTTCCTGGAGGAAGAACGACCGTGAGTGGGGTCCCTGGAACTGGGTAAATGACCACCCACCCCTCCGAACCTTGGTTTTCTCATTTGTAAAACAGAACAGTGCATCATAGAGCCTTTGGGAGCCTAAGAGCCCAGAACGCAAGGCCTCGCGCACAGTTGTTGCACTGAATACTGAGGGTCGCTATCACAGATCTGATCTGGGGGCGTAGGGGTGCATTGAGGACAGGAAGAGCATGCCAGGTTGGCAGGTAGGACACCTGGGTGGGATGCGGGCTCTGTCCCAGAGAGGCACATCCCTGGCTTTCCACTGGCCTGGGTGTCCCTCCTACACTTGGGGAAATAGTAGTTACCTGGGTCCTGCCGAGAAGGGCACGAAGGCCAGCGGCGAGCGCTGCTGCGGCTTGTCCGGATCAAAGCGATAGGGATTGTACACCTAAGCAGAAGCAGCCCGGGTGAGTCTGGGGACTTGCCCACCCATATCAGCTTGGCCCCCTCCCTCAGCCTCTGGGGAGCAGCCCAGCTGGACACTGCATTCCAGCCTCACTGCCTCCTTTTGCTATCCAGGCATGCCAGGCTTGTTCCCACCCCAGGGCCTTTGCACTTGCTGTTAACTCTGCCTGAAACACACTTGCCCATGCTCTTCACACTTCTCAGGTCTCAGCTCAAACATCTCTTCCTCCACAGATCTTTCCTCACCATGTGAGCTAAAGTACTCCTCTACCCCCACCCCCACCCCCTCCGTTTTTTATTTCCTGTGTACATTTATCAATATCCCAAATCATCTAATTTTTGCACTTTTTTCTTTACACTTCACTGTGAGTTCCATGAGGGTAATGACAATATCTTTCTCTGTCCTCAGCACCCAGCACAGGGTCTGGCACACAGTAGGAGCTCAATAATATTTGTGGACTTAATGAATTCGCAGTGAGTGGGGGATCGCTGGGGAAAGGGGGGTTGGGGGGGCAGGGGGGACGAGGAGCTCAAGTCCTGCATCTAGCCCTGATGTCTGGTTCCCTGGGAAGCAGGGCAGGGGAGGCCACACTGCCCCAGGACTGCCCCCTTCTGAAGAGGACACTGAGGGAGAAGAGGAGCTCACCTTGGAGTCAGGCCACACTGTGGGGTTGTAGTGGGTCCCATAGATGCTGACCAGGCAGATGATTCCTGTAGGAAGGGGTGAGGTCAGTGGGGCAGAGGGGAGTCAGGGAGACCTGCTTTCCTTGGAGCCATGGTGTTCCATGAGCCATCTGCCACGTCCCCTGCCCATCCTTCCCTGGAAAATGCTGCTACATGCCTCCCTAAGAGGTCTCCATCCCCCACCCCACCTCCCCCCCTGCTCTGCTGGCCACACAGGGCTCTTTCTCACTCACACATCTGGCATTTCTTCTCCTAGGCTCAAACCCCGCCCGTGGCTACCTGCTACCCTGAGGATCAAGTTCAAGTGCCTTAATCTGGCATTGAAGGCCTTTCACTATCTTCACTTCCGACCTCCAAGGCTCACCTCCCACATTTACTCTTCCAAGCAGCCCTCCCTGCATTCTTCCCAGATAGAGCCATCCAGCCTTCTTCTGGGCTGCTCCGGCCCCTCTCCCTCCCTTTAGCCCACCCCCGACCTCATGTGGCTGGGAATGTCTGTGCCCTGCTGTGTTCCCCAGCGTGGTCCTGGAGATGAGGCCTCTGTAGATCCCCAGCATCACCCAGGGCAGGGCTGGGTCTCCAGGGAATATCTGGCAACTGAACAAAACCAACCCTCCCCTACCTGTACCTAGAGAGGGCCTGCCGTGCCCCACCCACTGCTTCCTGTCCCTCCGTACTCACCCACCTCTATCTCCCCCCTGTACACTGGGTCTCCCGCATCACCCCAGAAGCAACAGCCACACAGAGAGCCATCCCATTTGCGGGATGGTGAACCTGGGGTGAGCATGATGAGCCCCGTGAGCAACAGAGCAGCCAGGCAGCAGGGAGCACACAGTAGGCACCTTTGGGGATGATGCGCCCATCCGGGAGCTTGATGTCCTCCGTGCAGCGGCGGGAGACCAGGGTCACGGGTGGGAACTGGCGAAGGCTCTCTTTGATGCACATAGTGGTGAAAGGCAGCAGCGTCAGGTCATCCCTGGGGAGCACGGAATGGGGGTGTGAGTGCTCGAGGCCAGGATCTCAGACCTGCCCCAACTGCTAGCATTTGCAGTTGTGCCCTGCACACACCGTTAACCCTGTGGCTGACTCTGAGCAAATCAGAGCCGTGCTAGTGGGCTTCTGCAGGCCCAGCGTTAACCCAGTAACGGATGGATTATGGGGAGTCAGGGCCACTGGAGGAGGTGCCCAGAAAGCCAGGCAGCAGCAATTTGCCAGCTTGTGTGGATCAACTTCAGTATTAAGAACCCATACATCCGCTTCCTTTACTGTTACTCACTTAATTTTTTTCCTTTGGAATCCAGAGCCCAACATTGGATTAATTCTAACTCTTGGTTCATGATTGAGTGCAGTGGTCGGCGAACTCATTAGTCAACAGAGCCAAAGATCAGTAGTACGACGATTGAAATTTCTTTTGAGAGCCAAATGTTTTAAACTTAAACTATATAGGTAGGTACATTGTTATTAACTTAAATAGGGTGCCCCTAAGGCTTAGGAAGAGCCACACTCAAGGGGCCAAAGAGCCGCATGTGGCTCGCGAGCCGCAGTTTGCCAACCACGGATCTAGTGGTTTTCTTTACACCAACAGGTTCTCCTTCAAAGAAACTTTATGTTGCTACTTTAAAGGGCAAATGGCATGCCCGGCATAAAAGTGTCATAAACGTAAGCACCCCTGGGAGACCAGCAGAGAGTTACTAAATTCTGGCGAGGCACCATCCCCTGCCCAGTCCTTGCGACCGGGAGCACCGTCTCCCGTTGTTAAAAAGGCAGTTAGTGCCGGACAGTGTGGCTCGGTGGTTGAGGGTTGACCTATGAGCCAGGAGATCACGGTTCAACTCCCAGTCGGGGCACATGCCCTGGTTTGGGGCTCCATTCCCAGAAGGTGGCGGTGCAGGAGGCAGACGACCCATGATTCTCTCATCCATTGATGTTTTCCTCTCTCTCTCCCTCTCCCTTCCTCTCTCAATGAAATCAATATAAACATATATTTTTTTAAAGGCAGTTAGCACCTGGCCAGAGTGGCTCAGGTGGTTGAGGGTTGTCCCGTGCGCCAAAAGGCTACCTGTTCAAGTCCTGTTCAGGACACACACCTGGGTTTCAGGTTTCATCCCCAGTCAGGAAGCGTGACTAAGGCAACCGATCAATGTTTCTCTCTTACATCCATGTTTCTCTCTCTCTCTCTCTCTCTCTCTCTCTCTCTCTCCCCCCTCCCTCTCTCCCTCTCTCTCCAAAGCCTCCATACACAAGTGAAAACTTCCTTTCCACTCTCTAAGCATATTCTCTGGTGATTAAAAAAAAAAAAAAGCAGTTACCAAGGTGTTAACGATCCAATGGCACCCACCCGAGAGTTTCTCCCTGAGTTCAGAATCTGAAAGGCTGCCATTGAGCCACTTTCTCTCTGTTCAATGCTATTTACTGCTGTGTTTTCTTTGCTTCACCCAGAAGCAGCGCTACACAACGCACATATGAGGTCAATTGGATTATTGTTCCTGATTCTTCACTTTTTCTTGTTTTCAAATTATACACCTGCGCCCTGTGCCCTGTGCTTCTGCAGTGCCTTCCACTTCGATGGGTGGAATATGCGTCCCAGCCCATTCCTGTTGCGCCTGGCCATGTGACTTGCTTTAGGTGATGGGATGGTGAGATGCAAGCAGAGGTTTTAAGTTGTTGGGCTCTCAGTGATGATGGGACGAGACTCGACTTAGGGTGGTGAGCACACAATAAAATATACAGATGCTGTATTCTAGAAGTGTACACCTGAGAGCTGTATCATTTTAATCAATGTCACCCCAATCACATTTTTATAGTCGTGTGCCTCTTTGTGCTTCTGAAGTCTACCTTGAGATGGACATGCCCAGAGTAGTTGCTGGTTCAAGGAGCATGAAAAGCTATGTGGCACAGACCCTAGCCCAAACCTCAGTTTGGAAGCAACCCCATTCAACTCAGCATCGCTCAGCAGTACAAACGTCATATGCAGACAAGAGCAAGAAATAAAACAAATGCTTGCTGTAAACCCCAAAGATAGAGGCTGTTTGTTATGCAGCATTATTGCAACCATTGCTAGCTAAGACACTCCTAAGTAAGAACTCCTACATTATGAGCTAGGCAGAGACATGTTGGCATCCTGTTTTACAGTTAAAGAAATTGAAATTAAATTGGATCTTAAGTGATTTTTTCACTTAAGATTGAGGTCAGAACGTCAATAAGTGGTAGAGCAGAGCGACTCACACCCCAGGCTCAACCTGTCCCCACCATCCCCATGACCCCCGACTGACCACTCCAGCTCCTCCAGCTCCCGGCCTTTCATGACTTCCTGGATCTCTTCCCGGCACTTCTCCTGGTACTCTGGGTACTTGGCCAAGTTAAACAGCACCCACGAGAGCCCACTGGACGTTGTGTCGTGACCTGCAGGCAAATGAGGAGCTAGCATGGAGGCTTCCTGGAGATAGCAGAGATGCTATCTTCAGGAAATGGGGACCCCCCATCCTCCCCCAGCCTTGCACCATGTCTTCACCCTCAAACATGAATGTGTCCGCCTCAGCTCGGATGTCCTCATCTGTCAGTTCCTTTCCATCTTCATCCTGGAATGGGCAGCAGACAAGGGTCAGCCCACTTCATCCCACCTTCTGCATGCTAGGGGCTCCTCCAAAGTCATACATGCTCCCCTCTCTCTCTTAAGCCAAGCTTCAGGAGAAAGGATTCCCAGATGGAAGTATGCAACTTGTCTAAGAAAGATGAAAAGAGCCAACCGGTTTGGCTCAGTGGATAGAGCGTCAGCCTGCGGACTGAAGGGTCCCAGGTTCGATTCCGGTCAAGGGCATGTGCGTTGGTTGCGGGCACATCCCCAGTGGGAGATGTGCAGGAGGCAACTGATCGATGTTTCTACCTCTCTGTCTCTCTCCCTTTCTCTCTGTGAAAAATCAATAAAATATATTTAAAAAAAAAAAAGATGAAAAGAGTGGAGGCAAGTCAAAGTTGAGGAGAAGAAAGGAGTTTGTGTTTCTTGAGCAGCTCTACACCAACAATCTTGTGATCGGGTCATGTGATCATCCTATATAATAGAGCTAATATGCTAATTAGACCAGACGACAGAATGACCTTCCAGAATGACCTTCCGGAACAACCTTCCAGAACAACCAGTGAGCGGGGGGTGGGGCCACGGGGCCATCAGCAGCCGGGGCTGCAAAGGCCTACCCTTGCACGAATTTCATGTATCAGGCCTCTAGTTATGTCATAAATGAGGAAACAGAGGCTCCAAGGGAAGAGTCAGATGACTTAGGTCAAGCATCCATGAGGCATCGGAGTCAGGAGTGGAGTCTAGGGCTATGTGAGTCCAGAACCCAGGTACTGCTTAGAAATTCCGCAGAAGCACCACACATGGGTGGTCACCTATCTCTGAAAGTGTCACATGTCTTCAAGGCCATGTAAGTGTTGTGGACTTCTGGAGCTCATATCTTCAAGTCCTAACCCAAGGGACCTCTGAATATGAGCGTACTTGGAGATAGGACCTTTGCAGAAGTAATTAATTTACTAGGGATCATTAGAGTGGGCCCTAGTCCAATATTACTGCAATCCTTTTAAAAGAGATTAGAACAGCCCTCACCAGTTTGGCTCAGTGGATAGAGCATCGGCCTGTGGACTGAAGGGTCCTGGGTTCGATTCTGGTCAAGGGCACATGCCCAGGTTGCAGGCTCGATCCCCAGTGGGGGGCATGCAGGAGGCAGCCGACCAGTGGTTCTCTCTCTCATCATTGATGTTTCTATCTCTTTCTCCCTCTCCCTTCCTCTCTGAAATCAATAAAAATATATTTTAAAAAAATAGAGATTCGAACACAGACGTGAACAGATGGCAGACCACGTGAACATACAGGAGAAGACAGCCATCTACAAGCCACGGAGAGAGGCCTCAGAAGAAGTCAACCCTGCCAACAACTTGATTTCAGACTTATCTCCAAAACGGAGGAGGTGAATTCCTGTTGTTTAAGCTACCTAGTGTCCGGCACTTTGTTACAGCAGCCCTAGCAAACGAACATAGTAGGTCTTACATGTTTTGCATCTGCCTGCATCCTATGCCTAAGTTAGTTTGGGCGTTTATTATTTTAGGCAGTTCCTGCAACTCCTGAGGAGGCCATCCTGGGCAGGGCCCACCCTCCAGGGCCCCGCCTCACCTTGGCCAGGAGCAGCACATCGATGAAATCCAAGGTCTTGCCCTGCTTGGACTTGAGCCAGGCCTCGGCCCCCTGCTGGCGCAGCGCCAGCCGCCGCTCCTGGATGACCTCGGTGGTGAAGTTGTGCACGGTGTCACAGGCCTGCCGGAAGCGCCGCCCGTCTGCAGTGCGGTAGTAGATGAAGTCGATGTAGTGGTGCAGGCGATATTGGCGTCGGACGGACAGCGCACTCAGCTCAATGATGGCCGAGATGTAATCGCTCATCTTCCTGCCAGGGAAAAGGGCCGTCAGTGTAGAGCCAAGCTTCCTCTCCCAGTGGGTAAGTGACAGAGAGAGGCCCTGGCCCTAGCCGGTTTGGCTCAGTGGATAGAGCGTCGGCCTGCAGACTGAAGGGTCCCGGGTTCAATTCCTGTCAAGGGCACCTGCCTGGGCTTGATTTCCAATATGGGGTGTGCAGAAGGCAGCCAATCAATGATTCTCTCTTATCATTGATGTTTCTGTCGCTCTCTCCCTCTTCCTTCCTCTCTGAAATCAATAAAAATATATATTTTTTTAAAAAGAGAGAGGCCCTGGATTAGCTATATTTTCTTGTATTCCCGATGCTCTACCATCTGGGACCTCCCTGACTAGAGAGACACTGCCCCCCCCCCCCCACACACCAGCCTATTCTTAGAGACTCACCCAAAAGCATGCCTTTCTTTGGGAAACCAACCAATCCAGAGCCCCTACTCCAAACCTTATCAAGCTGAGCCCCTACCCCCTGCCTTAATCACCAAGTACTGGACAGCCAGGGGCCCCCTTTTGCTCCAGAGCCTGCTGAAATATTCCAAACGAGCCAATCCTAAGCCTGCATGCCCTGCATTTCCCACTGATTCCTAGAAACACCCCCCAAAGTCTTTTGCCGGGCTCTCTCCTGGTGCTTCCCCATGTGGCCCGGTGTCGTGTGGCATTTCCCCTCCTCTGGGGAGCCTCGTGGCAGTCATTTTCTGAACTGTTGGGCCTCACCATACCTGGATAAAACTACAATCTGGGTGCATTTTAAAACAGGTCCAAAGAGGGATGAGGAATTCCAAACTTATGTGACAGCACTGAAATTAAACTGCCACAACCCACAGAGTGGGAGAAAATATTTGCAAATCATGTATCTGATGAGGACCTTGTATCTACACTACTTAAAGAACTCTTAACACTCAATAAAAAAGACACACCCCAATTTAAAAATGGGCAAAGGATATGAATAGACATTTCTCCAGAGAAGATATAAAAATGCCCAACAAGCACATGATAAGATATTCAACATAATTAGCCAAATGTAAATCAAAATCGCAATGAGAGACCACTTTACCCTGACTAGGATGGCTATAACCAAAAAAAAAAAGAAAACAACACAGATAATCACAAGTATTGGTGATAATATGGAGAAATTAGAGCCCTCACATACTACTGGTGGGATCCTAAAGAGATCGTAAAAACCACATTAGGAAAAAGTCCAGCCGAAACCGGTTTGGCTCAGTGGATAGATCGTCGGCCTGCAGACTGAAAGGTCCCGGGTTCGATTCCGGTCAAGGGCATGTACCTGGGTTGCGGGCACATCCCCAGGAGATGTGCAGGAGGCAGCTGATCGATGTTTCTCTCTCATCGATGTTTCTAGCTCTCTATCTCTCTCCCTTCCTCTCTGTAAAAAATCAATAAAATATATTTTTTTTAAAAGTCCAACAGTTCCTCAAAAAAGTTAGACATAGAATTATCATATAACCCAGCAATTCCACTCCTAGGTATATATGCAAGAAAATTAAAGACGTATATGTACTCAAAAACTTGTGCACAAATGCTTATAGCAGCATTATTCATAATAGCCCCAAAGTGGAAACAACCCAAATGTCCATCAACAAATAATCAAGTAAACAAGATGTGGTTTTACACAGTAAGTGAAATATTATTCAGCAATTTTTGAAAAATGAATTACTGATGCACATGACAACATGGATAAATCTGAAAACACAGTGGTGAGTAAAAGAAAGCAGGGACAAAAGTCTGTATAACTCCATCTATGAAATTTCCATAGTAGACGACTCTGTAGACACGGAAGGAAGATGAGTGATTGCCTAGATCTGGAGGAGAAGTGGGTTCTGGGAGGTGAGTGCTTACATGTGTAGGGGCAGTTAGAATCACAGTGTGATGGTGTAGGCCAGTGGTCTGCAAACTGCGGCTCGCGAGCCACATGCGGCTCTTTGGCCCCTTGGATGTGGCTCTTCCACAAAATACCGACTTCTGCGCATGGGCCACGAAGTTTCAATCACACTGTACGTGCGCACCCACACGTGGTATTTTGTAGAAGAGCCACACTCCAGGGGCCAAAGAGCCGCATGTGGCTCACGAGCCGCAGTCTGCCGACCGCTGGTGTAGGCGGTGGGGTCTCTCCAGGTGGCTGACTAGTCCTTTCTCTGCCTTGCTTGTTTCCGCGTCAGCAGAATTTGAAATGGCTGGCAGTGGGCGGGAAAGGACCCCGGGAAGGCCAGGGTGAAGGCAGTTCCTTGCTCACAGAGGGTGAGCTTACAGTTTCCACTGAACTGTATTCATTGGCACCTAAAATCTAGGACGACCACCACGGACATGTGGGCGCGACCGCTGCTGTGTACAACGCAGTCATCTGGACTACCTCACCACAGAGTCCATTGAATTGGCAGGAAATGCATCAAAAGACTGAAAGGTAAAACAGAATTACCCCTCCTCGTTTGAAACTTGCTATTCATGGAGATGAAGAATGGGACTCTCATCAAGGCTACGATTGCTAGTGGCGGTGTCATTCCACACGCCCACAAATCTCTGATTGGGAAGAAAGGACAGCAGAAGGAAGGTCTTGTGTTAGATTCCTGGTCAAGGGCTTGATCCCAGTAGGGGGTATGCAGGAGGTAGCTTATCAATGATTCTCATCATTGATGTTTCTCTTTCTCTCTCTCTCCCTCCCTCTCCCTCTCCCTCTCCCCCTCCCTCTCCTTCTCCCTCTCCCTTTCTCTCTGAAATTCAGTAAAATATATTTTTTAAAAAATTAAAAAATAAAGGCCAGAAGGTTGAGAACCACTGGCCTCTAAAGGATGCTTGGATTTCTTATGCTCTCAGGACTCTAAGTACTCTAACAGCTGTCCAGTGTTGGCGAATCCAGGGGACTGTATCTCTGTGGAAAACACAATTTTGCCTTTTTGTACTTCTATTTGAGCAAGTTGGAAATTTTTTTTTAAAATATATTTTATTGATTTTTTACAGAGAGGAAGGGAGAGGGATAGAGAGTTAGAAACATCAATGAGAGAGAAACAATGATCAGCTGCCTCCTGCACACTCCCCATTGGGGATGTGCCCGCAACCCAGGTACACGCCCTTGACCAGAATCGAACCCGGGACCCTTCAGTCCGCAGGCTGACACTCTATCCACTGAGCCAAACCGGTTTCGGCGCAAGTTGGAAATTTAATTAGCTTTCCTAGCAACCAAATGTCTGCATTTGAGTCTTAACCTTATTTAAGTGTTACCTGTGGCTTCAAAGAAGCTATCGATTCTAACGTAATGAGTTTTGATTGAGATGACTGTTTTTTTTAAAACTGTTTGGATTTTAACTGTGATACGAAAGCTACATTAACAAATGTATGGTTTTGTACAGACATAATTTCCACTCTGGTGGATAAATTGAAGTCATATCATCCCCCAAAATAAAGTATATTTTCTTTTTGGTGAAATCAAAACCCTTTTCTTTTTGGTGAAAATATTCTAAGATTTATTATGGTTGGATTGTATACCTTCAATAAGTGAATTGTATGGTATGTGAATTACAGCTCAGTAAAGCTGTTATTAAAACAATAACAACAGCCCTGGCCAGGTGGCTCAGTTAGTTGGACCGTCATCCCATACACCAAAAGGTTTTGGATGCTATTCCCAGTCAGGGCACATACCTACGTTATGGGTTCGACCCCTGGTCTGGGTGCAAACAGGAGGCAACAGATTCATATTTCTCTCTCACATTCTCTCATTCTCTCTCTCTCTCTCTCTCTCTCTCTCTCTCTCTCTCCCCTCCCTCCCCCCATTCCTCTCTCTCTAAAAATCAACAAAAACATATCCCCAGGTGAGGACTTAAAAACAAAACAACCATCATAACAAAATCACTGGGGGAGGGGGTCAAGGAGCTGTCCTTGGTCCTGAAGTGTGCTTGTTTTCATACACTTTCACAGTCGGTCATTTTTTTGTTTATTTATTTGTTCATGGTTACTGCTTTTTCCCCCACCAACATATAAGTTCCAGAAGAGCAAGACATTGTCTGTTTTATTGACCACTGTATTTACAGCCTAGTCTAGGACTAGCACATAGTAGGCACTCGATAAATATTTCTTAGATTAATTAAGGTCATCTCCACCTTACCCAATTGAAACATATCCCTGCAAAGCCCTGAGTAACAAAGTCAGAAGCTTGTTATTGAGGACCTACTATGTGCTACAAATTTGACATTCATTGTGTCCCTTATTTCTTATATCCCCACCTAGATTATAAGCTCCAAAGAAATGGGTTTTTGTCTGTTTCCTTACCATATTCCCAGTAGCTAGCATAGTGCCAGGCACATAGTAGGTACACAGTGAATATCTGATGAATGAATGAATGAATGAACCAGGGCAATGGTTATTTTACTAATTCATTCAACAAATACTCACAGGGCTCTACTGTGTTCCTGGGCAGTGCTATATCATTTTATTCTTAAAGCATCTCTCAGACAATCAAGGATGGTCATCAAACAAAAACACAGGTTCAGAAAGTGGGGGGATACTTTCCAAAGACCATATAGTCTTCACAGAATAAGGGAAACTAGCATTTACTGAGCACCTATTATGTGCAAAGCCATCCTATCTAATAATAGACAAACATGGTAATTGACCGTACCTTCACTACGCCTCCCATTGGCTAATCAGCGTTATATGCAAATTAACCACCAACAAAGATGGTAGCTAATTTGCATACTGCAGGTAGGGGGGACCAGCGCAAGCCGCCATCTGGGCCCCCATGTGCCGCCTAAGCCCTGCTGCCAGCTGGGACTCCCGTGTGCGGCCCTGGGCAGCAGGGCTTGGCGGCGCGATCAACCCAAGGAAGCCCTATTCTTGCAGGAAATTTCCTGCAACAGGCTTCTAGTTGATTCATATTATCTCATTTAATTCCCACACCATGACTATGGGGAAGGAATTGGAATTCTAATGGGGGGGGGGGCGATAAGGAAACAGGCTCAGAGAGGTGATGTCAGTTTCCCGGAACCACACAGCCTGTCTGGCAGAGCCCCAGCAGCCCATAGGTGCCGAACACCACCTTTTTCCTCCCACCACCTTGCCCTGAAAGCAGCTAGTCCTGTCTTCCCCAGGTAGGCCACACTCACTCCTGGCAGTTGCTATTGTAGCTGAAGACACATTTCTGAAGACTGTCCAGGGTCATGAGGCTGACATGCTCAAACATATCAAGGGAGACCACTGGACCCTCCGCCAGGCGCCGCCATTTAGCCTGGAAGAGAGAGACAGCAAATGGGCACAAAGAATGCAGACTTAAAGCCTGGCTGACAAGGACACACCATAATAGGTGCACGCTCACTACAAGCCCCATACAGATAAAAGAAGTGAGGCTTTGTGACATCACATGGCTCACCCGCGAGTTGGAGCCTGACCAGCCTCACTTCCAGGACATCCTCTGCCCATGACACCTTGGGACTCACATGCATGATGTTGGTGCACTGGTTGAAAATCTTCATGTAGGGCTTCAGGATGTCAAAGTGGAAGGCGGGAGTCAGCAGGCGGCGGTGCCGGCTCCACTTCTCACCTTTGCTGAGCAGCAGCCCATCCCCTGGGCCCAGAAGACTGAGGTGAGGGGTCTCTCCTATTACTCTGAGACACCCCAAGAAACCTCATGCTCCACCCCCCTCTTCCCTGAAGCCCAGCCTACCCAGTCCCACACTCACCTAGCCAAGGCTTCAGGAAGCCATAGAAAAGGTCATCCTTGGGGGCAATGGCGGCTGTGGAGACAGAAGAGCAATGATGACTCAATCCAGAATTCTGACCTTTGACCTCTGCTTCTGACCTCCTCGGGACTCCTCTCTGGGCTCCAACCTCCCACCTCATCCCTCCAATCCATCCTAACACCTACCCCAGAAAGATCCTTATAACATGCTGACCTGAACATGAGGCTCCCCTGCTCAAACACCTCCCATGGCTCCCTATCGCCCTGGTAAAAAAAGTTCAAGCTCAGGTTAGCATCGAAATCCCTGTCCCATCTTGCCCCTGTGTGCCTCTCCCACCTCATCCTTCAACATCCACTAAGTAACCCCAAAAGCTGTCTCTCACTTCCAAACCTTTGCCCAGGCTGTGCTCCCCATCCTGAATGGCCTTCTCCAACTTCATCCATCCCCACTTTTCTGCCAGCTCAGGCCACCGGAATTGTATCTTCTATGCTTGCCTCCATCCTTGCCCTCTCCAGCCTGTCCTGAACCCTGGCCCCATGGGGATCTTAACTGACTCTACATCGGACCATGTCCCTTCCTGCACCAGTTTCTCAGCCCATTTTCAAAGCCCTAAGTGAACTACCCCAGCTCAGACCGCTCTCAAAGCATCTCTATCCCCACCCCACCCCACCCCCACCCCCAACACATACTTAATGTTCTAACATCATAAAACTTTTCTCAGCTCCTTGGGAAAAGCTGTGTTCTCTCTCTGCTCTTCTTTCCACCAGATGCCTCTCTGCCTCAAACACTCTTTTCTCATCTTTCTAGTCTCTGCGTGAATACCATACCCTCCCCGACCAATCACTCTAGATTGCATCCCTCCCGTAACAATCACCTTAAGGGGAGGGACCACGTTCATCTCTGGTACATTGGTGCTAAATAAATTTTTGTTGTATGAATGAATAATCAAAGAATGAATGGAAGGATGGATAGATGGATGGATGCATGCATGCATGAATGAATGAATGAATGAATGCATGCATGAATGCATGCATGAATGAATGAATGCATGAAAAAGCGAATGAATTAGTGAATGGATGAATGAATGGATGGGTAAGTGAGTGGGTGGGTGAATTCCTTTTCTATATGCTAAACAAATTTGGGACAGAATGGGTAGGGGCCTGGGAAGGAAGTACCTGAAACTCAAGTGATGTCACTTTAACTGAGCTGTGACTCAGCTGCCTGCACACACACTCCCCAGAAATTGGCCAATCACTCACACAGTCATCTGTCCACTCATTCATTCCCCCATTGAACACAGGCCTCTTCTGCCACCTTTCCGTGCCCAACCCATGCTGGATGATGCTGGAAACCCAGAGATGGCTCAGCTCCACGCCCTGCCTGGAGGAGCTCAGGGCGGGGTGGGTGGGAAAAGGAAGCAGAAGCACGCCATGCAGTTATCAAGATGGTAGGAAGTGTGTCATGAGAGAAGGGAGGCACAGAGAAAAGGCTGTTGGAAGTCAAGGCGAGCTCCCTGGAAGAGGAAATATTGGAGAGGAAAGTGGGAGTCTAGCTGTTCTTCTCCTCTCTGGGCTCTGGACTCCAGGCTAGGACTCCCAGAAGGCCTTCTGACTCACAGACCTGTCCAGTGGTTGTCCTTTTCAAATACCTCGCCCCCAGAGTAAAACACAGGCTCACTCGCTTTGCACAAAGGTACTCTGTGTCCAACTCCTGTCTAATTTTTTACTTTTCCACACACATCATCTTCACTCCAGACACCCCAGATCCCCTGAATCCTCCCAGCACTGATCATTGCTACAATGTGAATGAACTTCAAAAACATTATGCTGAGTGAAAGAATTCAGTCACAAAAGACCACATTCTGTATAATTCCTTTCCTATGACATACCCAGAGTAGGAAAATCCATAGAGACAGAAAGTAGATTAATATTCACCAGGAGATGAGGAGGGGGGAAACGGTAAGTGATTACCTAATGGGCTCAGGGTGTTTTACGGAGTCATGAAAAATTTTGAAACTAGAGAGAGCCGATGGATGGTTGCACAACAGTGTGAACACACTAATTATCTTACACTCTAAAACTGTGCCCTTTACAATAGTTAATTACATGTTATGTGAATTCCATCTCAATAAAAAATGAATGTATCAAACCAAGCTATAATTATATGCCTATATATCTAGCACGCCTTGTCCTCTGTGAAGCATTTTCACCTACTTCCTCGCATTAATGTTCTCTGTCCCAAATGCCCATTAGAAGATAAAAACAAAACAAAACACAGAGGGTCCAAGAGGACTCACGCCTTCCTCGGGGCCCATCAGCTGTGCTGGTTTAAGCTCAGAGCAGCAAGACCCCCAAGGAGGCCCCAGAGGGAGATGGAGTCTGAGTTTGGGGCCAGACCTGTCTCACCCCAGGGGGCGTAGGCATGGACGGGCAGGGGCACCCTGAGGCCAGGCCCCACCCTCCCCAACCTGAAGTCCCCATCCTGCTCCTCTGGTGGGGGAGGCCGTGGTACCCTGCCTGTCCTGAAGGAGGGGTCGGGGGAGGAAGAGGCGTCAGCATTTACTTAGTGCCAAGCTCATGTGGGGGCTCTACTTCCTGATCTACTTGGAGTCTCAAACCGTGCAGGATAACATTTAGGAAACTAATGCTGTGGGGGGCGGGGGGGGGAGAAGGAAGAGGGTGGGTGAGAAGGAGAAAAGGAAGAGGCAGGGAGAGAAAGAAAAACATGTATATTAAAAAGACAGAAGAGAAGAAACCCTACGTTATATTTTTAGCGCCCACCTACGTTATATTTTTTGAGTCTTCACAACAGTCCCATTTTACAGATCAGAAACTGAGGCCCGGAGAGCCTGGATGAATTTCTGGGTCACACAGCAAGTATGTGCTTCCGTCAGGATTGGAACCAGCCCACCCAAGACCTGGCCCCAAGGCTCTTCCCAAACGCAGTGCCCATCCCTTGAAAGAGTCACCTCTCCCAGGGCCTCAGTTCCTCATGTGTGCAACGGGGATGGTCTCCCCTCACAAACGCAACAGTGGGGGATGTAAAGGCACGGGGAGGGCATCGTGGGGGGGGGGGAAGGACAACAGCCCCTTACTCTTTCATGGCTCCTGGTAGCAGCCTTGAAGGCAGTCTCCAGACGTATGTTTGTAGAGGCCCAAGCTGAGGCAAGAGATCCTAAAACGCCTGGGACTCTTTCTTCCTCATCCCTGTTCTCTCAAATGCCCCCTGATGCTTTTGAAGGTGCCCAGCTACCTACATGCGAGACCACACTGAAAACAGAGACAGACGCACTCAGCCCCAAACAGTGTGGACTGAGAATGGGAAAGTCCTGGAGAGAGGGGGATGGTCTGCTGGGGAGTCGGGGAAACCTTCCAGGAGGACGGAGGGTGGTCATTGGAACTGGGTGTTGAAGGCTGGGCAAGAGCTTACCACGCACACTTGGGAGCCCTACACAATGGGGTGGGTGTAGATTGCAGAAGAAAGAAACAATCCTTCTAGATCTCTCTCTCCGCCAGTCAGAGTCAGCCCAAGTGAAGAAAGCAGGCTATAGGTTGGGATAGTCAGAACCCAAGTGATGGGAGTGCCATTAGAATTGAGCAATAACCAGTTAACAAAATCTTGGGCAAACAACTACTTATCCAAACCTGTTTGCGTCTGACTTCCCAGTGGATGGGCATTCTCTTAAAGTTCCTGGGACTCTATTAACCATACCTTTTCCCATGCTATTCCCACTCTCTGTGTTGCCATTTCTGCTTTGGCGAACTCCTATTCATTCTTCAAAGCCCTACTCAAATGACCCTTATTCTGGATAGCCCACCTGCCTTAGAAGCCCAGGTGGACTCTGGGAGTTGAGGGTTTACCCATCACTCAGAGGCCCAGCCCACCTACCTGAGGCGCTCACCACGGGTTTGATGTAATCAGGGTGCACCAGAACCACCAGTGGCAAGACAGGTCCCATCCACACCAAGATCACATGGTGCATGTTGTCCAGCACCTTCTTCTCATCCTGGAGGCCCATCTCATTTGGGAGGTACTGTGGAGGTGGTAGGAAGGGAGAGTGAGGAGGTGTCCAGCCCCAGCTTTTGCCAGTCCTTCCCCCCTGCCGCCTCCCTGCACCCCAAGCAAGCCGAGAAGGGCGATTCGACTGCAGACAGTGGCCGCACCTCACTGAGCCTCCACTTCCTCATCTGAAAAGTGGGGACGAATCAACCCTCTGTCTGAGGACAGTTGAGAGAATTCATGGAATACCAAAGCATCAGAACCCCAACGCGGGGCCCGACACACAGCTGATGCTCAAGAAATAAAAACAGGCACATTAAACACGTTCATGATACTGGTTGGTACTGATCAAGGTTTTGCTCTGTTAGTAATAAACTATTCCTAGTATTGTCATATTTAACACATGCATGTTCTTGCAATGTTGGGCGCTGTTTGGGGCATTTTTTAACAGATTTATATGTTCAACCCACCCAAGAACCCAGTGAGAGAATTGCTACTATTTCCCCTTTTTACTTTATCTGAAGTTACAGGTAAGTGGCTGTCCTGGTTTGGCCTCCCCAGAAACAGGTCCTGAGACAAGAGTTCTAGGGCAAGGAGTATATTTGGGTGACCCCAAAAAACATGGGGAAGGGGAGAAGCGACAGAGGCAGGGAAGGTAGCCAGCAAAGAATAAGTTGTCAAGAAAGTGACCACCATGGGCAACCAGGACTCGGTGCCACCAGGGACCCCTGCGGGGACACGTATCTCAGCGTCAACCCACCAGCTCACACAGTCCCATAGTCACTGGCTGAGAGCCCTCCTGGGGCTTTAACGCTCAGGCTCGCCGTCCACACGGCAGAGTGGGCTCCTGCTGCTGGAAAAAGCCCTGGAACACAGGTGCTGGCAGCCGGAAGTCAGGTCATTGCACCCAGAAATGGGCCCAGAGGATATGGACAGGCCCTGGGCACCACCGGCCATTATGGCGGAGCCAGGATTTGAACACAGGCCACCCGGCTACCACATACCCGCTCTGAACCAACACGCTCTATGAAACAGAAACATTTCAGGCTCAATGTCAGATGCGACTGAACTCAAATCCACCCTCAGCCACTGTGTGACCTTGGGCAAGTCACTTAACCTCTCTGAGCCCCAAAGATGGAGTCCACAATATAGGGCAGATCCATCCTTGTTTCACAGGCTGTGAGAATTAGGGGAGAGCTCAGATCGGAAGGGGCCTAACCCAGTGCCTGGCCAGTGGTGAGGCCCAGCAATTACAGAATGAATAAATGAACACATGACTCCTCCATAGCTCCGATGCCTCCTTCTCTATCAGGATCGGCCTACCTATAGGACCACCATCCAAACCAGGGGAGTAAGGGCATTGGAGATTCAGCATGAAAGATGAGAAGAAGTTCTTCTAACAGGAAATTATATTCTGGGCAGAGGGCACAGTTTCAGCAAAGGCCATGAATGGGGGGGAAGTGGGCGTCCTGTGACAGGAATAGGAAGTCATTCCATGGGATGGGAGGGGTGGGTGGGACAGGGGAGGAGGGGAGGAGTTGGAGCAGAAAGGGCCCTGAACACCTTCAGACAGCAGTGGGAAGCCATGGAGTGTGTGTGAGCAGGGGAGGGACATGGTGGATTCAAGAATCCCTCTAGAGACAGGATGGGGGATGGACTGAAGAAGTGAGACTGGAGGCAGGGGTCCAGGGAGGAGGGGGGCATGAGGCCTGAGCAGAGGTGAGGATGGAAGAGAGGGATGGGATTCAGGCACAAACAGGCAAAACCTGACAAGTGCTGGCCCCAGGGGGATAATTCCAAAAAATAAGCTCAATAAATGTTCTTTGTACTATTGAGTGGAAATGCATCTCCCACTTCCTTCTTCTGAGACACTCCCTCGAAGCAGTATCTAAAATGTTTCTAGATGTTTCTGTCCCTGCAGGACCCAGAAGCTGAGCTGCACCATTGTGTAGCCGCTTCCGTGCCAAGCCCGCCCCAGAGGTGACTGCTGGAATCATCAAAACAATCCCATAAGGCTATGAGGCATGAGCACAGTCCTTGCAATACAGATGGGAAGACTAGGTCTGGAGGGGGAAGGAGCTTGCCCAAGGCCACACAGGCAGCAGATGGTCAATAAGGGCATCAGGTCCATGCTCCCTCTCCCTAGTCCTCTTCCACACTCAGCATGGGGCCTCAGAGCCCTCTGGACTTCTCTCCCCTGGCCTGTGAAGTCCTTCTAGAAAAACCCAGCCTTTCTTATCCAGAAAATAGAGGTTGGCCCTAACCGGTTTGGCTCAGTGGATAGAGTGTCAGCCTGCAGACTGAAGGGTCCCAGGTTCAGTTCCGGCCAGGCACTGACCTTGGTTGCTGGCACATCCCCAGTGTGGGGTGTGCTAG